ATGGCTAATGGGGTATCGATGTCCCGTGTCCCCTCATAACAATTTCTTGTGTCGGGCCGCTTCCAGAAGCGGCTGGCGATCGTGGTGGCGGTCGCAGCTGGTGGGGGCGTTGGCCCGAGACTTCCGACGCCCAGGAACAACAAAACGGTCAGTTTTTTGGGCCGGGGTCGGCCTCAGGGAGGCCATGATGTCCATACTTAGGACGCGCCAGGATAAAAGTATGTCCTTGGGAACGACTGCGGACCCCAGGAAGCCGCCGGCGTGAACAAATCCGGGGGGGCCGGAAGTCGCCGTGCAGGAGCAAGTGAGGGGGCGGGGGCGCGGCGAGGAAGGAAGAGGCTCGAGACCTTTGTTGCAGGGCGGGCAGCGGGCAGCGCACGGACGGGCAGCGGGCAGCGCCGAGCACAAACCCCCGCCAGGCGGACCTTAAAGGGAGGGTCGGGTCGGGCGGGCGGACCCTGACGGGCGGGACGGGTCGGGCGCGGTCGGGCGGACCCTAACACGCGGGTCTGCTCGGGCGAGCAGACCCTGACGGGCGGGGCGGGGGGGGTCGGGACGGGCGGACCCTAACGGGAGGGTCGGGTCGGGCGGGCGGGACACTAAAGTGTGGGGCGCGCTCGAGTGAGCACGCGTGAACCCTCACGGGCGGGTCGGTTCGGGCGGGCGGATTTTGATGGGCGGGAAGGGTCGGGCGGGCGGACACCAAAAACTGCATGGCGCGCTCGGGTGGGCACGCGTGAGCCCTAGCGTGCGGGTCCGATCGGGCGGGCGGACCCTAACGGGCGGGACGGGTCGAGCGGACCCTAACACTCGGGTCTGGTCGGGCGAGCGGACCCTAACGGGCGGGGCAGGTCGGGTCGGGACGGGCGGATCTTAACGGGCGGGTCGGGTCCTGCTCGGGCGGACCCTAACGGGCGGGACGGGTCGAGCGGACCCTAACACGCGGGTCTGGTCGGGTCAGCGGACCCTGACGGGCGGGGCGGGGCGGGGCGGGTCGGGTCGGGTCGGGTGGACCCTAACGGGCGGGTCGGGTCGGGCGGGCGGGACACTAAAGTGCGGGGCGCGCTCGAGTGAGCACGCGTGAACCCTGACGGGCGGGTCGGGTCGGGTCGGGCGGACCCTAACGGGCGGGGCGGATCGGGTCGGACCCTATCAGGTCGGGTCGGGCGGGCGGACCTTGACGGGCGGGACGGGTCGGGTCGGGCGGGCGGACCCTAACGGCGGGTCGGTCGGGTCCCGGGACCCTAACACGCGGGTCGGGTCGGGCGGGCGGACCCTGACGGCGGGCAAGTCGGGTCGGGACGGGCGGATCCTAACGGGCGGGTCGGGTCGGCTCGGGCGGACCCCAACGGGCGGGTCGGGTAGGGCAGGCGGGACACTAAAGTGTGGAAGCGCGCTCGAGTGAGCACGCGTGAGCTTAACGGGCGGGTCGGGTGGGGCAGGCGGACCCTGATGGGCGGGACGGGGGTCGGGTCGGGTCGGACCCTAACGGGCGGGTGGGGTCGGGCAGGCGGGACTTAATAAAGTGCGGGGCGCGCCCGAGTGAGCACGCGTGAACCCTAACGGGCGGGGCGGGTCGGGTCGGGCGGACCCTAACGGGCGGGGCGGATCGGGTCGGGTCGAGCAAACCCGAACGGGCGGGTCGGGTCGGGCAGGCGGGAAATGAAACTTTGGAGGTCGCTCGAGTGAGCACGCGTGAACCCTAACGCGTGAGCAAACCCGAACGGGCGGGTCGGGTCGGGCGGGCGGACCCTAACGGGCGGGACGGGTCGGGCCGGGCCAGGCGGACCCTAACGGTCGGGTCGGGTCGGGCGGGCGGGACACTAAAGTGTTGGGCGCGCCGGAACGAGCACGCGCGAACTTCAACAGGCGGGTCGGGTCCGGTTCGGGCGGACCCTAACGGGCGGGACGGGTCGGGTTCGGGTCGGGCGAACCCTAACGGGCGGGTCGGGTCAGGTGGGCGGGACACTAAAGTGTGGGGGCGCGCTGGAATACGCACGCGCGAACCCCAGCGTGCGGGTCCGATCGGGCGGGCGGACCCTAACGGGCGGGGTGGGTCGGGCGGACCCTAACGGGCGGGTTGGGTCGGGCTCCAGCCAACCAGCCGCGGGCAAGAGAAGCCAGAGGAAGAGGGGAGGGAGAGGAGCAGCAGCAGCAGCAGCAGCATGAAAGAACATGAGCGGGAAGAGGAGAAAAGGAAGAAGAGGGCGAAAACGAGCCCAGGCGAAAACGAGCCCAGGCGACAGCCAACCCGGGCGAAAGCCAATCGGGCGAAAGCCAACCCGGGCGAAAGCCAACCGGGCGAAAGCCAACCGGGCGAAAGCCAACCCGGGCGAAAGCCAACCCGGGCGAAAGCCAACCGGGCGAAAGCCAACCGGGCGAAAGCCAGCCTGGGCGAAAACCAACCTGGGCGAAAGCCAACACGGGCGAAAGCCAACCCGGGCGAAAGCCAACCCGGGCGAAAACCAACCTGGGCGAAAACCAATGCTGCAGCATTTCGCTAGGTAGGACCCCTTCCCCGCAGTTGACCCCTTTCCATTAGTCCGTTGCCTTTCATCGCTTTGTGTCGTCTCTTGGAACACATGCGGACGTCTTGTGCAAAGCAGGATTTCAGGGGGGGCCGTTCCCAACGGCAACGTCAGGGGGCATAGGCCCAGATGGGGGGTTCAAGGTTCGAGGCTTTCGGGTTCGAGGTTATATGTTTGGGAGGGCCTTTTCGTTGCTTCTCCGCGGCCTGCGGCCTCGGGGTATTCTCCACCAGGTGCGCCTCGCCGGGAGCGTTCTGGGGGTGCCCGAATCAGCCCGAACGGTGGCCGGAGACCCGAAGCATGGCCGGGAAAGAAAACCTCCGCTCGTCGTGAAGAAGTCACGGTGGGACGTTTGTGGACAGTTTCTGGTTTCTTGGTGCCGTTGCCAGGCCCCAGGGCAGTCAAATGACCCGAGGAAAAAACCCGAACAGCAGCAACTATGAAGAGGCGGGCCGAGGAGCAGAAGGCACACGGCCGGGAAGCCCTTGAGAAAGAAAGGAAAGTTTGCCGGGACATGGGTGAGAGCACGGCCATGTGCACGTTAGTGCATTCATGTGCAAGAGGTCGCGGTCGTCCCGATCAGAATTGTAGCCAGCACTGGGCGAGAGCACGGTTCTTGCGCAACTGTTAGCCAGCGTGGGCCCCAAACCGTGTGCTCCTAGCAGTCTACGTGGAGCAACACATGTGGAGCAATCTATGTTGTGCCATCTGGGTGGATGGGTCTATGTGGTGCTACCTCCGTGGTGGAGACTATGTGGTTCAATCTACGTGGTGCAATCTGTGTTGTGCAGTATCTGCGCTACAATCTATGTTGCGCAATCTACGTTGTGCAATCCATGTTGTTCAAGCTATGTTGTGTAACCTGTGCCGTTCGAACTATTTGGCGCAAGCGATTTTGCAATCAATGGCGATCAATATTCGTTGTGCAAAGTGTGTGCAGTCTATGTGGCGCAATAAGTGTGGTGCAATATATGTGGTGCAACATTTGTTGTGCGAGCTATGTGGTGCGTGAGCTATTTGGTGCAATCGACGTGGTGCCATCAATGTGGTGCAAGTTTGGTTGTGCCATATGTGGGTAACAACTTATGTTTTGCAAGATTTGCCGTGAAATAAATGTTGTGCAATCGATGAGGCGGTGACGGGGCGGCAACGGCGGCGACAGCCTCCAGATCGGCGTACAGGCCCAGACCACGGGCGGCGACGAGGCGGCGACGGGGCGGCGACGGACTGTTTCTTCTGACTGTCAAAGACCTTGCGAAACGCTGGAGGGAATACTTGTTCAGGGTGAGAAGCAAGCTCTGTGAAGAAGGTTTCTAGACCTCTGGATATCCACGTTGTGACAGAAATCGCTCGGAGAGCACGAACTATACACCAACACCGATCTTGGCCAGGATCACCCTGGGCCCAGGATCGGTGTATACGCCCTCCTGCCTGGGGCAAGAAGGCATATACACCGATCCTGGGCCTAGGATTGGCCTGGCCAGGATCGGTGATGGTTTATAGTTGGTGCCCTCCTACTCGCGGCGTCGGGGGTCTGGCTTCTGCGCGCGCGCCTCGCCTGCGCGCCCAGCCGACCGCTCCGCGGCTCTGCTCGACGGGCCTGCCGGCGCGGCTCGGCACGGTCCCCGCCCAGTCGGGCGCTGCCAGGGGTGTCTGTGATGCCGGGCTTGTTTTCCACCACCACCACCATCAGTTAGAGCGGGAGGGGGTCTTCCTCCTCCTCCTCGTCCTCCTCCTCCTCGTCCTCCACCTCCTTCCCCCCTCCAACTTATGGTGGTGGTGGTGGTGGAAAACAGGCCCATCATGTGACCAAAGTCGTGGGCGAAGAACATGCAGTCAACCCGCATAGCAAGGACGGGCAACCTTCCCAAGGGTACCCTTGCATCCTTGCCTCCTCGGTCCACCCTTGGCCACTTTCGCTGGCCGCGCCCCGGTCGGGAAGCTTCGAAATTTGTGTGTACAAGGCCCTTGCATCCTTTTCGCGCATCCTTCCTATACGGGTTGACTGTACCCGTATCCGCGGCAAGCTTGGACCGCGACCGCCGCGGATCCGGGCCGTTGTTTTTTCGCGGACGCCCCGCGCGGAGTTCACCGCGTCCTGGGATCCGTACCGCGAGGGCGCGGATACAGTTATGTTTGCCGCTCTTGACCAAGGTGTTCCCAGCTTTTCGAGCCACGTTCGGGGCCCTGTGGGCCCCGTGAGGGTCGGGCGTCGCGTAATGGGGGGGCGACACATGGGAAGGGTGGAGCAAGGTGGGTGCACCTTTTGTACACCTCAGGAGCCCCCTGGGGCCCAACAGGGGCGCGAAAGGTAGGCGTTTCTTGGCCCTCGGTTTACCGCCCCCATTTAGCAAGGCCTCAGAGGGTTGCTCTGAAGGCCATCTGGGGCTTTCCGGAAGTCCTCGGGAACCCTAGGCCACGGGCGCTTCTGGCAGCATCCGGCCCAGGGCTCTCCATCTCCAAGGCGGGGCGGCGCGGGGATCTGCTTCGCGTCGCGTGGGAGATGCTGGGGGGTCGTAGCAGTTTGGCTAAGGCCATCGCAGTGCTCCCGCGGCTGGAGCGATGGAGCCAATGCTGGCGCGCGGGCGCGCGCTGCGCGCGCGGCTGTGCACGGGGCGGGGGGAGGAGGAGCTGGACGGGCCTGGTGGCAGCGGGGCTCTGCTGCACCGCGTGCTCTTCATGAGCCTCGCGAGGCAGCCGCGGAGGCGGGCGGATTTCCTCGGAGGAGTGCCAGTCGAGACAACGGCGGCCCTCTCTGGCGTGTTTCGCCGCTTCTGGACCTCCTCGAGGATTCTCGCCGCTACGGCTGGATCCGCGCCGGAAAACTTGCCAGGACGGACTCCGGGATAGGGTCTGGGGACCGATTCTGAGCGGGCTTGGGCTGGGCGGGGGAGCCGCCGTTGCCTCGACTGGCTCTCCTCCGAGTTCCTGCGCCAGCTGCGGCGCTGCCCCTGCCTCAGCGGGCGCGCGGAGTGGCTGCCTGCGGTGGACGGCGCCCGCATGGTGCTGGACGAGGTGCCTGCAAGCATCGTCACTGCAGAGGGGGTCGCGGATGCAAGGTTCCCTCGCGACAAGGTCCTTGGCTACGTGCTCACGCGCGGGGCGATAGGACTCGCCTGCTCCCTGCACGAGGCACTTCGTCGCATCGCCCAGGACACGGATGAGCAGCACGTTTACCTGCTCTGCGAGGACGACGCGACCTTTGCGCCCGATTTCTCCGCCGCCTTCTCGGCTCTGCTGGCCGCGACCGAAGCCCACGACCCTCACTGGGAGGTGCTGCACGTGGGGTACGACCCGCGGTGCACGGAGGTGGGCCCGTGCGGCCGCGCGGAGTGCGCAGCCGCTGCCTCAGACCCCCGACGTCGTGCTCCGGGACAGAACCCAAACGGTGTGTTTTTGGCGATTTCGTGGGCCGTGTTCGTTTCGACTTCGTTGTGCGGTGAAGGCGGAATCGAGACAAAGGCGAGGGAAACCGAAAACAAAACGAAAACGAAAAACACCGTTTAGGTTCAGCCCTGTCGTGCTCTTCTCATGGCGTAGACCCCTGGAGGTATCGACCCCTTAGGGACCCGGTTGCATACGGAGTCATTTGTGACGGTCCATGGGGCCTGGGGAGGGCCCCCGCTGAGATCGCCGCTGGGGTTGCTGAGAGGATAGGGGATCCCTATCTTCTTAGCAACCCCAGCGGCGATTCACCTGGTATCCAATTGTATCCACTTGTATCCCCCTATTACGGGGATACAAGTGGATGCTGAGGTGGGTTCTATCTGGCCTATCCTAGCTTAGGAGTGGGTTGCACGCGTCCTAGCGGAGTACGGGCGTAGCAATCTGGGCCAAGATGGCGGAGTCCACTTGGCAGAGTGGCTTCATCGTCCTCAGCCACATCGGGCACCTGTAACCCCCTCAGAAGCTGGGCTAGGCCAGATCCAGCCCACTGTAGCATCCACCTCTAACTCCCCCCATCCCCTTAGCAACCACCGCGGCGATCCACGCAGAAGCCGAGCATTGCGAAGCAACCCAGGGGTGGACCTAAACGGTGTTTTGCCGATTTCGTGGGCCGTTTTCGTTTCGATGTTGTTTTGCGTTAAAGGCAGATTGACGACAAACCGAACGAAACCACAACGAACACGAAAACACTATTTAGGTTCAGCCCTCAAACAACCCTCGTGTTTTTCCCTGTCGACACCGGCCAGCTGTAACCTCCCTAGACGCTGGGCTAGGCCAGATCTGAGCCACTGCAGCATCCACTTCTAACCCCCCCATCCCCTCAGCAGCCACCGCGGCGATCCACACAGAAGCCGAACATTGTCGGATATTGGAACCTATACATTACCTGAGGCGGGCTGTTTTTCAATCCGCGGATTTTTTGAGGGTCGAGGACGACGTCGGGGTGGTTGTTTCCCCCGTTTCCTTGGGGAAACAACGAAATCTGTATACACCAGAATCCCGTATACTCCAGGATCCGCTTTATGGTTTGCAAGTTTCAGAGCAGGCCTGGAACACGCGTCGGTGTATGGAGTTCGGTTCCCTACATGGCGAAGCACCTCTCGTCGTGTTTTTTTCCATGACCCGACGGGTGCCTGAGGCCGCGGGCACGGGCGGCCTCTGCTGTGGGCTGGGCGTGCCCGGCGTGCTCTTCGGCATGTACGGCCTGGCGCTGCCGCCCCGAGGCGCGCGCGCGCTGCTGGCGAGGCTCTTCCCGGTGGGCCTGCAGGTGGGTCCCGTAGCTCAGAGGAGGAAAAGGGTACCCATACCTCTACCCTTCGCCCGTTTTTCCCTTTTCGGGCCTCCTGGGGAGCCCTCGTCGCCACCGTTGGATTCGCCTCGGAATCCTGGTCAGAACGCACCCCGGGAGAGGTCCAGGGAGTAGCGGTATCCCCAGAAGCAGATCTTGGGAGCCTCCTTCGATCTTCTGATCAGGGCGCTCCCGGGAACGGGCCCCAGGGTCGACTCTTGACCCCCGTGCCGGGCAAGAGCCAGCAAGATGGTATGGGAGGCTCCCATGAGCTGCCACCGACAGGTGGACACGGAGTTGTCGCGAGCCTACCGGCACCTGGCCAGGGCCCAGGGCGACACCTGCGCCCGCGCCTCCAGCGCCCAGCCTGGAAGAAGCAATTCTGCAACAGCGGTACACTTTCGGAGCTCCGCGCGGATTCTTCAGACCGGCGCTGAAGCCTCCTGGCGGCGCCTCCAGCGCCGCCCCTGGCGCCTGGCGAGCTCGCGCGGCAGGGCAGGGGGCCAGCGCCGATGCAAGGAATCCGCGCGGAGCTGCCACAGTGGATGCTTACGCAGCTGTGCATTCTTTCGCCAGATGGCCCAGGGCCCCAGGCTCCGGGCCTTTGCGCCGCGCTGCGCCCCCCGCGGCGGCCGAGCCTGGCCGGCCTGGACCGGCCCGCTCGTGGTCGCCCCCGCGTCGCGGGCGGACTGCACGGACATCCAGGTGCTCAGCCGCGAGAATCAGCGCCAGCAGTACCCGGCGGAAGAAGGGCGTCGTCGCAGCGCGCGTTCCGTCGGCCGTCGCCGCCAGCCTACCGCCTGAATCGCCGCGGGGATTGCCGAGAGGAGCACGAGCCGGTGGTTCAGATATGGGGTCCTGAGGGATGGGGTCCCGAGGGCGAGTTTCGTCAAACAACGTGAATTCAGTCTTGGATCCCATCCTATCCGTAGGTCCCCATCCCTCAGGACCCCATCCCTGAACCACCGAATAAAGCGGTTTACAAGTGGATGCTAAGGTCGGTTCTATTTGGCCTAATTTGGCTTGGAAGTGGGTCTCAAGCACCCTAAGTGGCATAAGGGGTGGGCAGATCTTGGCTAAGTAGGCAGAGCCCACTTAGCGGAGTTATTCAATTTATCACCCTGAGCCACAGAAGGGGACTTGCAACCCACTTACAAGCTAAGTTAGGCCAGATAACCGCGAAGGGTCTGTAATGCTAACGCCCCCCCTCCCAAGCTCTCGGCTGGCAATTAGACTCGTCCTTACCCTCCTCGTCGTTCTCCTTATCATCAACATCACCACCAGAGATCCTCATCCCGCCCCCGATCCTCAGCGGTGGCCGCCGCCAGGGAATCATCATCTTCCTAATATTATTGGGGGTCCCAATCCGTCAATACGCACGCGCAAGAAATCATCATTCAATCGCTTCGCTCATTCCGCCGGCCGGTATTGTGCCATCGCAGGCGTTTGCCTGCGCGTTCGTGGCCTCGTGGGGCCACTTGGGGGCCGTTGGGGATCTTTTTGAGCCTCCTGAGGGCCTCGTGGGGCCTCCAAGGGGTTTCCTGGGCTCTCTTGGGGGCCTCTTGGGGCCTACTGGGGGCCTCTTGGGGCGGAAGGCTCGATTTGGTGGTTCGCGTTCCCCCTCTTGGGCCCTTCCTAGGGCCGTGGCCCTCTTGGGCGATCTTGGGCGCCTCTGGAGCCGTCTTGGGCCCCTCTTGGGGCCGTCTTGGGGCCCTCTTGGGCGATCTTGGGGCCCTATGGAGCCGTTTTGGGTGATCTCGAAGGCCTCTTGGGCCGCGGTGGGCCGATCTCGGAAGCTTCTCGGGCCTTCGTGGAGCACCAGTAAGCTCGCAAGGCAAGAACGCCAAAAACCTTCAAAAACTGTAGGGAATTCGCTAACTAATTTCTGCATCTGTGGGCCCTCTTGGGAGGTCTCTTGGGGCCTCTCGGGGGTCTCTCGGGGCCTCTCCGGAGCCTCTTGGGTGTTTCTTGGGGGCCTCGTGGGGCTTCCAGGGGACCTCTCTGTGCGTAGAGCTCGACATGTCCGTTCGGGTCCCACGTGCGGGCCCGCTCTTGGAGCCGTCTTGGGAGCCTCTTCGGCTTCTTGGAAGCCTCTGGGGCTGCCTTGGTGCCCTCTGGAACTGTTTTGGGCGCTCTTGGAGGCCTCTTGTGCCGTGTTGGGGCGATCCTGGAAGCCTCTTGGGCCTTCTTGGAGCGCTGGTGAGCTCCCAAGGCGAGAACGCCACAAAAGGTTTACCCCCACAAACAAAACTCTTTGGAAAATTACTAAGCTCTGCCTCTGTGGCTCTTGGAGGCCTCTTGGGGCGCCTTGAAGGCGCCTGGGGCTTTCTTGGGGCTTTCTGGAGGCCATCTCTGGCGTCTTGGATCGCTCTTGGGCCGTCTCGGGCCATGTTGAGCTCTCTTGGAGGCCACTTGAAACGCTCCCGGAACGCTCTTGGGAGCCTGCTGGGACCTGGCCGGGACCTGCCCGGGACCTTGCTGGGACTTGCCGGGACCTTGCCAGGACCTTGCCGGGAATTGTCGGGACCTTGCCGGGACCTTGCCGGGACTTGCCGGGACCTTGCCGGGATATTTTTCGTCCGGGGATCCAGGAGCGGCCCCGCGCGCGCGAACTAGAATATTCACCAGTCACTGGAGGTCTTAGCCTTCGCTTTGCCCGTTGGGCCGGCGAATTTCCTGACTTCTTGGGGGTGGGTGGGTGAAAGACCCTTTGCTTTTGAGTCCCACCTCAGCATCCATCTCTAACCCAGCTATTCCCTCAGCAATCATCGCGGCTATCCGAGCAGCCCACCTGCAATCGGGGGAGCGTAAGACCCGGGTTTGCCAGGACTCGGGTTCGCCATCGTTTTTTGACGACCGCGCCTCGGATTTTGACGAGGAGGAGTTTCGTGGGATGTCTGCAGCGGGAGGCCTCGTCAAAATGCAGGCTTGGCCTCGTCATTTTTTTGACGACTTCGTCGGGGATTTCCGAGTCCCCTGTACCCGGGTCTTACGCCCCCCTGACTGCAAGCACCCCCGCCGCCCCGGTCCGTGCCTCCTCTTCCGTGCCCGCAGGGGGCAGGAGGGGAGCCGCGCGGAGCGTTTCGGGGTTATGAGCGGAAAGTGGATCACGGCCACTGGACTCGCACCTTCTGCGGGGTAAGGTATGTGGTGAGGTGTTCTTGGCGGGGTGCGCCAGCCTGCATGGTCTGGTCGGGGCCTGCCTCCTTCTCTTCTCGCCCTCTTGCTCTTTCGCGTCGTGCCTTCATCTATGATTCGCTTATGATGCATCCCGACGCTGTCTTCGACCGGCACCCGACCGACTCGCACACGCTTGCGCCTGCGGACGTACATATTCCGGGCGGGCGTTGGTGTCAAGCAGCTTCCCCATGTCGCCGAGTCATTCAGTCAGGCCACCAATGCTTCTGCCTTTTACTAGTTAGCTACCTCATCCCCACTGTGCCATACCCTTCTTCTGGTTGCTCGTCGTCTTGTGGAGACGGTCATGGTGGTGTTGATGATGGTCATGGTGGTGTTGATGATTATGCTGGTGGTGGTGGTGGTGAAGAAGAGGAACAGGAGGAGGACTTGCGGTGAAGAGAGGGACAGTGTAGGTTTCCCATCTAGCATCGCCCAGGGAGAGAGCAAGAGCGTTATAGCGCCGATTCACGGCGATGCTGCAAGCAGTACGTCCTGATCTTGCTCGGACACGCGCATTCAGAGTCCCAACGAGCTCGTCCCAACGGGCTCGTGGGTGGAGGAAGGGAAACGCGGGAGGCAGCTTAGGAGAAGG